AATCAAAACCATCCACACTCTTTACAGGAAAGGGACCACAGATGTCTGTGTGAATAATCTGTAAAATTCCTACGCTTCGTTTGATATCTTTCTTAATTTTCTTTACATACTTTCATTTTATGCAATCTCTACATTGTTCTAAATCTAAGAGCTCTAATGGAGGAAGAATATCATTCTTAACTAGTCTTTCTATTCTCCCCCTCGAAATATGGCCTAAACGATAGTGCCATAATTTCGACAATGCATCGTGAGCTCTCTTTCGTTTTCTGTTTGCATTGTTCGATGAGGATACTTTCTCATTCACATCACATACGGAATTTATATTTTCACGAAGTGATAACAAATAAAGCTCGTCTTGTCGGAAGGCAAGACCAATACATCTATTATTAAACAATATTTGACATTTATCATTTCCAAAATGGTAATCATAACCATCATGGTCCAACTTTGATACACTAATCAAGTTTCTTTGCAAAGAAGGTACATAAAGAACATCTCTAAGAAAAAGTATGAAGCCATCATCAAGCTCTAGCGGAAGATCGCCAATGACCTCAACATCTGCTTGTACTCCATTTGCGACTTTAATGAAACTTTCGCTTCTTTGCAAAGTTCTCATCGAACGGAATCCCTGTAAAGAATTAACAACATGAATAGTTGCACCCGAATCAATCCACCAAGTGGATTTTAAAAACTTGACATACAAGGATTCATTTACGAACGTAATAATGTTCTCATCTTTATTTTTCATAATCATCTTTAGAAAATCGGGATAATTTTTCTTATAATGTCCCGTCTTCTTACAATAGAGACACTGATCTTTCTCCACTGGGAATTGCTTGTTCTGAGACTGTTGCATGGGACCCTTTCTAGTTGACTTGGAGGAAGAGTTGTTATTATAGTTCTTTTTCTTAGTGCGTGTTTAGTTCGCGAAAAGTGCGAAATTCGGCTACTGTAGCACTTTCGTTTTTATTTGACAAACAGTGTTCAATCATGGACTAATTAGGCTCAAAACGTTCGTCTTGCAATTTCCAACAAAACTGTGCAATTAGTTTTTATTTTCGTCTACATTTAATGCTCTATACACGTACCGTAAGATCCGATGTGACGGGTACTGTAGCACTTTTTGGAAAACTTTTCGCGAACTAAACAAGGGCTTATTATCTTTTAGGTAGTTGATAGTACCACCCTGTGAAACTTTTATTCTTTCCTCCTCCTACACACACATGACTATGAGCTTTTCTAAATCTCATTTCTCAGGCTGTATATTGTAATTAACAACAAAAGTATCAAATTCTTTTGGCAAATAAGCAAAAATCAAATGAATAAGGAACTCACCCCTGAGAGCCAAATTCATTGGTTTGAGCTTAGATGCCAAATTGCTCATTCTCAGTATGTGCTCTCTAATGCCACTGCCGCCACCAGAGTACCTTTCTGTCACCAGCTACTTGATCAGCTGGGTTGCATATGTCTTTGAAGAGCCAGTGAACTGACTCTTTATTCTTTCTAGGTACTCTGTGACTGTGTCACAGTCTGGAATTGAGCCCACTATTGCAGGCTCAATTGTATTCTTTATCACAGCCAAACATTTTTTATTGGCTGTGACCCACTTTCTATGTTCAAGGTCAAAAGACATCTTTACGGGAGCAAAGTCCCGCTCTCTGTTCTGCCATGCAGCATCAGTCTTATCAGTTTCCCTCACCGGTGCCACAGGTTCTTTGGGACATGGTGTGGTGACTACCAGTCAACCTCAGCCAAGATGAAGGCCAAGTCGATCTTTTTCTTCCATTCAATGTAGTTATCCCCTTTGAGAGTTTGGATATCTTTGATATAAGCCATCAAGGAGTATCCTCCTGAAAACACAATTCAAATAATGTGAGAACATAAATAATAACAATAACAATTGCATGTCTTAGTTTCAACGTTGGTCAAAATTAAAACATACAATTATCCTCTACACTAATTCTACATCACCGTTGGGTAGAAATACAATTAATGCATAATCATTAAAATTATAATATTGCTATTAACAACGTTGGTCAGAAAATAACAATATCATAATCAACTCATATTTATCTTTTGGCTCTTAAAATCAAATTCTCCCGTTGGTTCGAATTTAATTAAAAGACCATAACAACTTTAAATACGAGCGGAAACATTAATAAATCTCATAATTCTATTTTCCAGAAACTCTTAAAATATTATACTGTTCTCCGAACAAAATAATCGTTGGACAAAATTATACAGAGATTTACCTCAAATTTCAATTGAAATTCATCAAATCTGAATCAAATCAGTTTCTAGAAAAAGAAAAACTGAATAAACTTATACTGTGCATTTGGCCCGGTCAAGAAGAAGACGCACGCCCGGCCAGCTAAAAGCCGGTTCCCATGGACGACGTGGCGCCTCCCGCCCTGAGCCACAACTCGGCCGGGGGGAATTTTTTTTCGCTTTGGGCTCAAAACGGCCCGATGCGGCGCTGGCCGTCGATCGTCGATCGACGGACCTCCTCGCATTTCGGCCGGATGAAAAACCCCACGACGGCCGCGGCTCTCTCAAACCCTAGTTCATTCTCTCCCTCCCCTTCTCTCTCATCGTGCAGCGTCGCTCGGAGCTTGGCCGCAGAAGAAAGCAGCCTGGCCGTCCTCGGTGGCGAGGGAGAAGAGGGCTCCACCATGCCCCTCTCGCGGCGCGCGTGTTTCGCTTCGAGGATGAGCACGCCATCGTCGAGGGGCCGCATGGTGGTGCCCTGTTGCCGTGACCGCGTGTGCGAGGTGCAGTGCGGCTCGTTGCTCTGTCCCGCGCGCCGTTCGGGAGCGACGCCTCGGTCTCTTTTCCGCGCGGTGGCGATGCCGCTGGCGGTGAGGAAAACCCATGTAGGCTTCCTATCTTTAGGGTTAGGGTTGGGTTCTATTGGATCCGAATCGAATTCTAACTCCACTCTTTCTTTTCATTCGTTTTTCTTTGCTTTTGATTTGAAAACCCTATATCTACACCCTAGGCTGGCGAACTGCTAGGGTTATGGTTCTTTGTTGAAACCGTGTTTCAATCTTATTCCCACTTTTCTCGTACCCGATCTAGGGTTAGGGTTCGATTTGCTTTTCTTTCCCTGATCCAGATCTACGACTAGACAGGCGTCTGATACCATTATTAGACCCAAAGATCACATAGAGTAGCATCTAGTCGGATGGTTCTTTTTTATTTGGGATGAACAAGTTGAAAACCTAATGAACCGTACTACAGAATGATAGAGAGAGGAGAGTAGATGGGAGTGTACAGACCATCGGAGGGCGCTGTCGAGGAGGATCCGACCATCTCGTTCTGTCGGTGAAGCTCTGCACACGGGCAGCGATGGTCGGGGAAGAGTTGGTGAAGTCCGGTGATGCAGTGCTGGCGCAGTGAGGCCGACGGTGAAAACGATGGCGGCTTCCCGTCGCTGGCTACGCTCCCCTCGTGATCGGGTTAGGGTTTATACGGTGGGGCCTGTAGCTCGGCGGTGAACCTCGTACCATGAGCCGCCGGCCCCCATCGCTTTATATAGCGCAGTGCGACGGGGGCCCATCAACCATATATGGTTGTGTGCCCCCGATCAGGACAGCGTGACCAAAACACAATAGGCCGTTGGGCTTATTGGCTGGGAGATCATTCCAACATCATGTATTTTCCAAGCACCGTAAAATTTCTCTATATATCATATTAACTTTGGCTCTATTCGCTTATCTTATAATCCGTCTTTTCAGCTTGTTTTGATTCGGCGGCGGCGATAGATCCCGAGTTAGGAGGCGATACTTCATCGGGTGAATGGTGTCGACATGTCGATTCAGTGCCGCCTCTGTCTTCGTCCTTCGTCGTGAGAACGGGCAGGTCTGCAGGCCTCCATCTCGGCGGCACTAGTGGAGGTCTGCGACTGCCATGGGAGAGAGAAGCCAAAGGAGATAGAAAATATATTTTATTCCAAATGTCTGGCCATTAGCCATATGGATATATTAATCGTTGCTCTTCCTCTTTCATCCTCACAATGTATAAGGGTATATATCTTTGTGACGTTGCATGGACTGCTTTTGGGCACACTGTGGCTGTACCCAACTAAAAAAAAAGCTTCATATACTCAAAGTATACGGTGAGACATGCACGGCGCACCCATGTACGTAATATAATGTTGTAGTATTGTTCATTTTATTAAAAAAAAACTAGTTCCATACACTTTTGGATATATGATAGAGGTGCTATAGAATATGTGCAAGATATATAGAGAAAGATATGTCAAGTTTGGAGAAAAGAAAAATATATGTCAAGTCAAAGAGAAAGAAGATACGACCGACGTCTGTGTTTAGTATATGCATGAGAAATTTGGCAAATGTTCATTGGACCACGTTAGCATTGATTTGTTCCACTTACGACTGAAGAAGAAGAAAAAAACAGAACATTTGAGAGCCTTGAGCCATATGCCCCGGGCCCCCCTGGCGAGAAAAAAAGGTTTAGCCAACCGAACGAGGTTGAGCCGTCAGCCGTCCCGCATAGTACGGTGCTCGGTGCACCGTGTGTGTATCACACCGTCCAAAACCACCAACCGGCAACGGGGCGGGACCGACGAGAGCCCGGAGGGTCGCCACCTCAAGCGAACCTCGCCATGTTCCACACAAAACCGCGCTGGAATCACGGCCAAAATGATCAGAATCGCCCCCTCGCTCTCGCTCTCGCTCTCGCTCCTGCTCCCCCACACGGCCACACGGGCCGAAGGCGGAGTCAGCTTGCACCCCACACGCACGAAGCGCTCCTGCCGCCCGCGCCCACACGGCATTCCGCCGCGCACAGGCGCACAGCACACCGCCTATAAGACAACCCGCGGTGTCGCGCACCCTTGCCACCGGCCACTAGGACGTCGCAGCTTCCACCCCTCCTTACGGTTTATCCAAGCACGCGAAGCACAGCGAGAAAGCGGAGACCTTTGCGCGAGTGCGCTCGATCTCGTTCCAGCTCCAACAGGCAACAGCAGTAGTGGTATGCTGACGAGGCGGCACGGAGGGTTCCGGCTCGGCCGGAAGCTGCTCAGCGCCTGGCGCTGGGTGCTCTGCCACCGCCGGCGCCGCCGCGGCCGCGGGTACCTCCGCCTGCAGCCGTGCCAACAAGGACGACGAGGCAGCAACAAATCCCCGTCGACGTCCCCCCTGGCGGATGCAGCGGTGCGCGCCAAGAAGCAGCAGCAGCAGCGCGATGAGTCTGGCTCGCCGCGGATGCTCACGTGGGGGCGGTCGCTGGCGCGGCGGATGAGGCTCCTGCGGCGGCGTGTGGGAGGGGGGAAGGACGGCCGGCTGCTGGAGGACGCCGCGGCGGAGGCCACCACGCCCAAGGGGCAGGTGGCCGTGTACGTGGGCGGCGCCGAGCCCGGGGGCGAGTCGATGATGCGGTACGTGGTCCCCGTGGTGTACTTCAACCACCCGCTGTTCGGGGAGCTGCTGCGCGAGGCCGAGGAGGAGTTCGGCTTCCAGCACCCCGGCGGGATCACCATCCCGTGCGCGGCCTCGCGGTTCGAGCGCGCCGCCGCCGTGGCCGCCGGCGGCGGCGGGAAGAAGGTGCCTGCTGGATGGTGGTAGCAGCACGTGGCCACACGGTGGCCGGTGTACGTACACACATGCATGCCCCTCACCCTCAGCCTCTGCCTCAGCCCTCAGGAGGATCCCGATTCCTATGGCATGAGGACAGATCTCTCTCTCTCTCTCTCATTAGTTTGATTTTTTTTTTTTTTGCCCTCTTGCCCCGTTTCCTTGTGTGGATTGAGCATGTGGCCCATGGGATGCGAGGAGGATGCATAGTTGTAGTTTGAGAGATGAACAAGGCTATTTTCGGGTCAGCAAAAACATGTTCTGATATGATTCCCCCCAACTTGCAAGTCCATGTTAGAAAGCATGCATCAAATATGTACTCACGTCAGGTGTGTTCTGATTCTCTTTGCAACTAACCCATCGATCTAGTTCTAGTTTTTTTTCCCTTATAACATAGGAGTACTACTTAGCGGCTCCGTTCGTTTCGCTGAAAAAACAAACCGAAATATTGTTCCGGTTGATTTGTTGTGAGAAAAAATACTGTTCAACTGAAAAACAAGTTGAAAAGTACGGATTATAAGAGAAACAAACAGGGCCAGTACGTTAAAGTAGTGATGCTACTTTGCGCTAAAAACGGAAGCACCGAAAAAAGGAGTAATTGAGCTTATAGAATGATCTCGTTGCTACTACTTTGTTCAAAGTTAAGTTGTCCCCAAGAGTGTTCTGTTCTATCCGTTAGTGTCTAGAGACCTGGTACTCTACTTCCTCCAAGGTTGTTGTACTGCTACTGGGTCGTCCGTAGACCCCGGCTGAAATGAGCAACCTCGACGGATTGCCGCATTGTGGTTGTGGTCGCCTGGGCCTGGCCCTGGCCCTGGCTGAAACAGTGCGCCGCTTTTGTCTGATGCTACAACTGCAATTGATGCTGAAAAACTCTCAACCGTTTTCTACTTCTACATTTTGAATACGAAAACGAAAGCGTAAAGCCGGCCGTAAAAAAACGAAACTACGGAATATCAAAATTTCGAAACGAACTAATTCGAGCGGAATTATGTGCAGCGGTCGGTCTGAAAAATCAATACGGAATATTGACCCGTGGGACCAAGTGCATAATAATTAACAAGTACATAATAATTAACAAGTCCTACAACTTTCTTAAAAATATCTCCATTCAACACCATTTTTTTTAAGGCAACAGATGACTTTGTTTAATTTTTTGAACATTTTCAAGACATCAAATGAAAAAACTAAGAACTAGAAAGTGTAGAGTAGATCCGAGATCGTATGAAAAAGATATAATTTTTCTAAGGTTCTTGTAGTGGGTCAAATTTGGTTTAAACGAATTTCCTCGAATTAAAAGTAGAAAAGTAGAAATGTTTCCGAATTCGATCCGATTTCAATTTGGTGTTCAATTTCGAATTGAATTTAGTGATTTTGTCCGAAAATACGAATTCGCTCAGGTCAAATATAGAAAAGGGGTTGGATATTTCTTTCCGTTTCATCCTTAACTGCAATGCAGCGACCACAAAAAAAAAAAACTGCAATGCAGCAGTCCCGGTCCCGATCCACTCCACGGTGTTCTTGATTGCGTGATGTGAGAGAAAATGAGATGGCCTCAGCGACGCGATCGGTTTGTATCTGTAGTTCTTGATCCACTCCACGGTGTGCGTGATCAAGAATGAGATGGCCTCAACGATCGATCCAGTTGTCCGCTCGCGTATCATGATGCATTGAACTCCAACTCCAAGAGGGCATGCTGCAAATCAACTAATCAAGCACGCTGGTGTTCAGTTCGCATGTACACATCAGGATCAGGTCCTTTTTATTGCCCCCGCTCGCGTCTGCGCGGCTAGCTAGTTCCCATCCACGCTGGCCTGCTGGCTGCGCACTTGTTGTTGCGCGTGCACTGTGCACCGCTCCCCGGTGGCCACGCGATCGAGCTCCGCAACGACGTTACGCAGCCGATGAGGGCTGGTTTACGGGAACACGCGGGTAGCTAGGGGTGTTGAGAGAGATGAAAGCATTGGATGGGGATGGGCCTCTTGAGATGCCGAGTGGACGGAGCAGAGTAGCCTAGCATGCCCATCCACAGTACTTTGGACTGTTGGAACGACTACCGTGAAAGGCACGGGAAAGCGAGTGAGCGCGACTACAGGCGCCAGGGCGAAAAAATATCGTACACAGTTGCAACGAGTGCCTAGCTAATTTGCCAGCGTGCATGATAGGTTGAGATTTGTAACCTATGGAGTAGTAGTGACACAGGGCATGGTCCTGCGATCGACCAAGTGAAGAGGCATTAGGACCTAGGAGTAGGGCTACCGTCATTTTCGCTTAATTTCCTTTTCATTTCTTCAGGATCTGGTGGAGCCAAGTCTGTTCACACCTGCGAGCAACAAGTCATACATTGAGGACAGGAGTACTCAGATTGGCCTCGAAGCAGACGCAGCAACGAAGCTGCTTGACGTTATCTGTCGACGACATGTATATCGGCTACACTACACAACATTCAGAGTAACGATCCATGTGGTGTACTTGTACCGAACGGGTGCGGACAAATGGCTTGAGAGGCCTCGTGGAGATTTTAGGCTATGAAACGACTGAACGGGGGCTTCCTCGCAGAATGAACGTCGATTAATCGGGGAACGCCACCAAACCTGCCTGCGCTGTGCCCCTGTTGTAGTGGCTCGCAGTAGTACGGGCTTGTTTGTTACTCCCTCCATCCAAAGTACACGAGTCATTTCATGAATCTTGGGAGTGAAATCATCTTAAGTTTGATTAAATTTATATGATAAGATAATAATATTTATGACGATAACTAAGTACCATTAGATTCTTTATTAAGTATATTTTTATAGTATATCTATTTAATGTCACAAATTTTTATAGTTTTCTCTATATAATTTTGGTCAAACTTGAGATGCTTTGACTCTCTAAGAATTTTTAGAATGACTTATAATTTAGAATTGATGGAGTATAATTTGTAAGTTACTAGTATTTATCCGGCCACAGTTCTCTCCACAGCTCCCCTTTTTACTAAAACGTAGTAATAATTTAGATCAGACTATGGCTATCCCGGTCACGTTTTTCTCCATCTGTGCAGCTTTCAGCTTTCTCAGGAAGGCTTCTCTCTGAAGCTGTACCAAACTGGACACATATGTGATTAATGAGAAGCAGATTAAAGTTGCCAACTAGACGGCGGAATGCTGCAGGTTGCTCCTTCCTTCACAGACGGTGACAATTTTAGCACGGAATCTGATGCGTGTGTCAAATGAAAATACAGAGAGAACAGGTCCAATATATGCCTACTGCTGGTACGTGATTCGTGAACACTGAATGTACAGTGCCAATGGGACAGGAATGACAGAAGAGTGACTGGTTCTGGTATACCCACGTATCGAGTCTGTCACGTACTCCGTATGAGGTTCATCCTAAATTCCTTAAGACCTCTCTTTTTATACTATTCCTCCGTTCCAAATTATAAGTCGTTTTTACTTTTTCGATTCATCCATTTTATTATGTATCTAGACATATTATTATATCTATATATAACAAAATAGATATACTTAAAAAAATTAAAACGACTTATAGTTTAGAACGGAGTGAGTACATGCTAAAGAATGCCTAGCAGCAGAGGAATTGAAAGTCAACTTCAAAGCCAGAGCCGTTACAAAGGCCTTTGTTTGCAGGTAAAGCACAAAAGTCCAGCCCAGCCCAGATCCTTCGCCTATCATCACCAGGCCTCTTAGGCCCAGATACAAGTGTCCCCATTAGTAGGTAACCTACCCATACAGCCCACTAGGCTTCTGAAGAATCATTCCCGGCCTCCTGGGCTCTCTCTAGTCATCTCTATCTCTCTCTCTCAAAAAAAAAAAACCTGTTCAGTTACCAACTTTACCATACCACGATTCTGCCGCCTGCCGCAGAGCAGGTCCGGCCCCGCTGCCCTGCCGTGCATGAAAGGCCAGCGGATAACTGACCGCTGCCGCGCCGAGCCACATCCTCACGTCGATTGCACTTGCACGTCGCTCCCGGATGTCGCACTCGCAACTCGCAAACATCCTCGCCAGGTTAACGGACGCGGCCGACGTCGTCCACCGTGCCGCTGCCCGCTGCCGCGACGTGAGGGCGGTGGGGGTGCCGCGTGCCGGACACATTGCCACACCCGTGAGAAGTTGCGCGCCGGTGAGGGCAATTCGTGGAGGAACTATATCGGGTTTGAGATGGATTAATTTCCACTCTTTCGCCGTCTAACTCGTGCTCTCTCTTTCCCCATCGAAAGCTTAAGACACACAGACGCGAACTCGTCGAAACGGCAGCAACTGTTACTGGCTCACCAAAGTTGCCATCGCGCGCGCTCAAGCATGGTCGTCCACCCCCAAAAGGAATTGCTTTTGGTCGTGATGCCGCACAAGAATGGAGAATCTCTGATGCCAGCAGCATAGCATCAACCGTCCTCAGCCACACGAGGCATGCAAATGCGGCTCAGAAGCTTCCAGAGAGCTAAAACCGGTCTTTGTGTTAAGCTAAGCCCCGTATAAGCCACACGTACATACGTCTTCGCGGCGACCGAGACGAAATCAAAATCCCTCGCGAGTTTGCATGTCCTACTATCCTAGCTAGGTACTGCTGTCTAGGCAGCGCAAACAGTCTCAAGCCTTCAACTATGCACCTGCTCGTCAGCTGCCTAGCGGCCGTATTCTTCTTCCTCCACATCGACGTCGAGCCGGCGGCGTACGCCACGCCGGGCACGTTCCTCTACGCAGGGTGCTCGCCGTCCAGGTACGCGCCCAACACGGCCTTCGAGAGCAACCTCAACTCCCTCCTGGCATCCATGGCCTCCACCGCGTCCTCCGGCGCCACCTACAGCAGCTTCACCTACGGCCTGTACCAGTGCCGCGGCGACCTGCGCCCGGGCGAGTGCGAGGCGTGCGTGCGCGACACGGTGGCGCGGCTCGGCGCGGTGTGCGCCGGCGCGACCGCGGCGTCGCTGCAGTCGGACGGGTGCTACGTGCGGTACGGCGCCGCCCGCGCCCGCCGCGCCCTCGCCGACACCTCCGTGGCGTACCACAGGTGCAGCGCCGGCACGAGCGGGGACGCCTGGTTCCTGAGGTCCCGCGACGCCGTCCTGTCGGAGCTGCAGCAGGGCGTGGACGACGCCACCGCGGCGGCCTCGGGCTCGGGCAGGTACAAGGTGAGCGCCTCGGGCCCCGTGCAGGGCGTCGCGCAGTGCCTCGGCTGCGTCGCGGAGGCCGACTGCACCTCGTGCCTGGCGCAGGCCGTGGCGCAGGTCCACGGCACCTGCGGCGCCGCGCCCGCCGCCGACGTGTACCTGGTGCAGTGCTCCGTGAGGTACTGGACCAACGCCAACTACGTCCGATCGTCGCAAGGTACGTGGTTGCAGATGCAATGACCACACTGTCAAGTTCTAATCATCATCATATCTTCATATCGCATTTCTATAAGCTGAAAAGGGACAAGGTTTGCCTAGTTTAGCATTCTTTTATCCTTTTGCACTATATAAATATGCTACTGCATTTTGTAGTCTCATGATTAATAAGTTTTGATGCGCACGAACTCGAATCTGTAGGACTAAAACAAAAACACTTTTGTTACCGAAAGTCCAGATCTTAAAAGCAGAAAGAGCGGAGGGTCTACATGTGTGAGAATAGTCGCTTGGTTGCAACCAGTGTGAGTGTGACTGGTGAGTGGGGTGATATGGAACTGGGAATAGATTCCGGACTGGTAAACTTCCAAAGCTGATAAAAGAGGACAGAAAGAATATATGCCCCCAGCATAAACTTTGCGGCCTTTTGCCTTTTGGATCGATGTTACAGTAAAGCACACCGTCACTACCTAGCTTAGCTTATTAGCCACTAGAATGCAGAAGAGTTTATCAACAAAAAAAAAAATAAGAGAAAGAATACAGAAGAGTTCATTTCAACAAAAAAAAAAAGCAGAAGAGTTGGCGCTTGCGAGTTCTTGCGGTTGTAAATGGTAACTCAGGCCGTGTGCCTGTGTCTCGGTGATCCTCCGTATTGTTGACATACCATTTCAGCCCAGAAGCTCATTCTCTTGCTGCAGAGGCCAGGAATCTTAGTTTAGAGGTCAAATACTCCGCTCGTCCTAAAAAGGAAAAAATATAAATCTCTTTTTTTAAAAGTCAATTAATTTTAAATTTAAGCAAATACAAACAAAAACACTAATATTTAGAGTGGATAATAAGTATCCCTATATTAATCATTGAATATATTTTAATAATAAACCTATTTAGAGATACAAATGTTGATATAAACCAAGCAAAACATGAGATTAATTGACTCATCGGAAAGAGAGATTACCTTTGTTTTGGATAGAGGGAGCACTAAATAAAGGTATATTTATTATATTCCACCAAATTATAAGCTATTTTGGGTTCTTAGATACATAGTTTTCGTTATATATCTAGACATAACCTATATCTAGGTGCATAACAACAACTATATATCTAGAAAAGCTAAAATAACTTATAATTTAGAATACATGGAGTATTATACTAAAAAGAAGAGTGAAATCAATTTGACCCTCTTGAACTTGTGATTTTCTATATATCTAGAAACTATATATTTAGAAATATTACATCCTCCAACTTCCAAGATTGGACAATTTACCACCCCCTTCATATAATTAAAAATAGTTTTGGGTTATGTTGTCATTTTTAAGTTAAATAAATATATATATATATGTTTTGGACAATTTATATATAATTTTATATTTCTCATTTTCCTAGAGCACAATCAGAAATTTGGAAGCTTCGAGAGATAATTTCACAAGTTCCAAATATTTTATTTTGGTGTATGTTATCCTAATATATCTAGGGTTTTCTCGATTTTTTTGGAAGTTTGAAAATATTTTTCGTGGCTTGAAAATTTATCTAGTGTTTATCAAATTTGTTGAACTAAAAAAGAATGGTGCAGCTAAAAACCACCCTCAAAGCCACTTTTTAGTGGACTCTAGAAAATTGGAGGGTATCAAATACCATTGGAAGAAACGATGGGCGGCAAGCAATCACTCGGCGAGTGCCATCTGCCCATCGAGCAGCGTAAACAAGAGACAAAATGACTAGTTTATATCTATCTAGTCAATTTTAGTCCGTTTGACACAACTCAGTTCTGAAATCCACGTCTAAACTATAAATAAAATGAATCATGTAAATGCTCTCAATGTATATTTAGCTCTAGATAAAGAAATTTACTAGAGCTATAAATAGCTAGTTTCAAGGAATCCGAGAATTTCATGGAGCTATAGCTCTGCCACTATATATACAGTCGTGCGCTAGTCCTGTTTTCTTTCGAGTTGATGTCATACTCTACTACTCTAGTTATTATTTTATAAATTCTGCATTCTTTGGGATCAGGTAATCCTGAGGATGACGCTGGGAGGACCGTGGCGATAGCAATCGGTATCTCGGCGGGGGTAGCAGCACTCGTGGTGTTCATCTCTTTCCTCAGAAAAGCATGTGAGCCCCCAGTCTGGTTCAATTAAAACTCTATTTTTTTTACCCTGCTTCTTCCCTCGAGTCAAAAAGACGGAAGGAGCCGACCTGGAGTATCTGATCAGCCTATGCTTACGTTTCACCGCAGGCTCAAGCTAGCTACCCCACAAGGCAGAGATGGACGGTTACCGTCGAGCTCGTACCGTTACCGTCACATTCATTTTGCCGGAGGTAGAGATTCACTACCTGCTTCTGCTCTTTAAGCTGCCCGAACAGCAGTGTCATGTTTCTGTTCACTGTGGATATGGTCGTATGGCCTGATTATGAACTCCTACACCGGGTTGCCTGTCTAATATTTGTTCTGGGCTTTGCCCTGGCGAAATATACAGAAACATTCACGACAACTGTACACTACAGAGGCACTAAGGTTAACTTTAATTTTACAGTACTTCACAGATAAGACTAGCCTTGCATACACATAACAGATAACACGTCCATATAAAGTTGGGCCAGAGCAGGCTAAGCAAGCAGTAATACTCCTTCAAGCATGCTCCCCAGAATCCGCACAATAATATCAAGCGTTGTGGCCCTGCTGAACCAACGGCAACGCCGCAGCGGGCTCCATGCATCTCCCCGAGTTGTAGCTGCCGCAAGCACTGATGCTCGCTTTGCTTCGTCCAAGTGCCAGGCGTGCCACTGTTGCATATACGTATTTGCGAACGAACACTCTCATAGTCATATCTCAGGCGTGCCACTGTTACATATATCCGCGAATGAAACACCCTCATATGCATATGCTTCATACCGTGCCGAGTGAGTGATCCGCAATGGGATTCGAAGATCTGTACCTGAAACTGAAAAGGCTCACCGGAATGAGTCAAATCAACACAAATAATAGCAACCTTAGCTACCTCTCAAGAAGAAGAGGATCGCATCGACGTCTCAGAAGTCTCTAACTAACCATTTGCTTCAAGCAATCCCAATCATCAACGAGTGGCTGGACGGGGGATCCAAGGGCTTGAAGCGTAGGAGGCCCATTTTCAATCCTGAAGAGAAGCGTGGAAGGCTTTGTGCGTGTGATTTGGTTTGGTTCCTGTCTTCCTGATGTGCCCCGTCCTGGCCCAGCTCATGCGTACACGCACAAATCACTCGTGCACGGGGCCCATGCGTCAGCGTCAGGGCGTCAGGAATACCTCCACTTCCACAGTTCCACTTCCACTCCGCATGACGAAATCTGCACCATGGACTCCGGCCCCTCATCCAGCCACGTGTCCGTTCGATCCCCATGCGCCTCTTGATCGAGCCGTCAGTCCCTAGGCCTCCAGCTCTATAGCACTCTCCCGAACATTCGTGACCACGCTCACACTCCATTGGCCCCTTGACGGCTTGCCGCCGTCGAGCAACCACACCACGTCCCACTATATGTGCTCCCCCACTCCGCCCCAGGGCTACCGCCGAAGCCACGGCCAGCACCCGCTCGTCTTCTTCCTCGGACCATCTCGGCCTTGAGTACACTCCTGACGCCCAAGTTTCGGCCCCACGTCCTGTCCTGTGCAATACTCCCTCAGTCCCAGTTTATCTGTCGTCGGAGCCTCAACACCAGATACCAAGGAGAGTGGCCAAAGACACTGATACCCCTACATACCAATCATTTCTCAACTGTGAATTTAGATGCACATGCCATCAATACCATCCACCGCATCATTTTTTAAAATAAACAAATCATCATTGGCATCCACCTTTTCACCCTTAAACATGCAGTACAGTGTTTTTCTCTTAAAAAATCAATGCTGACAACGAAAAAATACATTTTGCTCGGCGGCAAACACCACTTAACGTCAAATTTACAGCCAAAACAAATTGAAACTTCAAATCATTGCCGCAAAAACCACTTAGTGCCAATTTTACACAGCCAAAGCAATATGAAACTTCAAACTATTGCCACCAGCGCCATTTCTTGACCATATACTAGGAAATAAAAGCATGGTGACCCTCTCGTTGCCTTCATTTGAACCTTCACCTCTCATCCATCTTCCATGCTAGACTTGAACACACTACCAGATGAGGGAGGAGAGAAGGTGCCTGATCTCAACAAGATTCTTGCCGGACATGAAGAGGATCAAGATGTAGTGGCTGTAGATGAAGTTTGGGGAGCTGACCACTTTGGTCTCCATCCTGATCAAAATGATGAACAAGCAGAAATTCATCAAGGTAAGCACATCTATTTATACCCAAAACTTGAACTAGTTCATCTCTCTCTCCCTCTTGAACTAGTTCATCTCCCTCTCTCTCCCTCCCTCTCCTCTCTCTCTCTCTCTCTCTCTCTCTCTCTCTATGCTCTTGTTTATTTTTCGGTTCTAAAATCAGAAGCAACATCATGTTACTTAGTTATTGCTACTATTTTCTCACCAGAAACTCTTGTGTACCAGGTGTTCTCTATAGTCTCTCTCTCTCTCCTAAATTAGTAAATGGTGCTTTAGTTCCTCTTTGCTAAAATCACTATGATCATCTGGGAATTTTTAGTGTATAACTGTCACCTAAAACTTTTTGCAGCAGGGCTCCTTTATATCCTCTCTCTCTTTCAGTATCAACTGGTGTAGTCTCTGTCTCATAAAATTGCAAGCAACATTAGTTAATTTTTTTTGTGTAAGGCATGCAGCTCATATTTGCTTAAGTTCAAAATTAATTTGGAATGAGAGGGGACAATAACTCACATGTGTGGGTCACAATGCAATTTTCTAATCAATAGCTTGCTTCTGTACCAGGTGACAATGCTGGCCATCCATTTGATTTAAATGATCCACATGAAGAAGAAGAACAAAATCTGCATGCAGGTGATTATTCAATACTCATGTTCAAGTTATGTTTGCAACAATAATTGTCCATATCAAAAAGTTTCATAATGTTTTGTGAAGCAGTTCTCTCTAGCCTCACTCTATCTCCTCAATTTTTATGTTCCAATTTACTTCCTCCCTACTACTAAAATGTGTAGCAACATCTAAGAAATTTTGGTGTCTATTCTCTCTGTTCTAAACTAATACTAACTGTTGTATCGAGAGAGGAGAATAACTCACATGTGTGACCCCAAATGCAGACGACCATGGTTGGCGCACGGCCCAGTAATTTTGCTTGCCATAGTAACATCCTGTGGCTCTGTCTCAGGCACATACTCATCGTCATCACCAAGCAAAGATGAACCCTTAGCAACTCCATCTTCATCCGAATCAGGTAGCAGCTCAAATCGATCTGCACCCCTTCTTCTGTATCTTGAGCAAAATCCACTCCTTCGATGGCGATGCAGTTTAGCTCCCGGTCAAACCAAGTTCCACGACGACGATCCCGGCCACGCATCTGCCTGGTGGGCCACATCCTAGGTTCAATGGGATGCCCAAGGCGCGCTTCATCCGCAAGTGACGAATGAACTGGCTACCCCCATGTGCTCCCTTGCCGCCTGCCATCGAAGGATCGCCTGTAGCACAAGAAGGCAGTCTTGTTAATCAAAACAGCACCAGTTCAGCAATAGGTTTATGAGCATGATAGCAGCTGAGCGACCATTTTCCTAAATGTTAGATGCAGATGTCACTCTAATACGAACTAGTAGTACTAAGCAATCCGCCCACACAAAAATGAATACAGTGTTAGAGCAACTCCAACAGATGGTGTATATTTGTTTTGGAGTCTACATTTAGACTTTTTTTGTGGAAAAACAGGACTCCAACAGATATTGTATCCGGTAATCTAAAATAAGAAGTCATGTATCCCTTATTTCTCTCTAGCTACAAATAGCACACAGGACACAGCAGCCACCAGCTATCCCTCTTCCCTGCATGAATTTCTGTTTGGCGCTCCCCTCCCCCTCATGAATTTCTTTTGGCGCTATCCAGAAATAGCATGTTTTCAAATATACAAGACACAAAATAGCTAGACTGTTGTAGAGTCCTTTTTTTAGACTTTTTTATTTTACACAATGGCTAAAATAAGGAATTTGACTATTAGTTTTAGATAAACTCTTGGAGTTGCTCTTATGCTAGCATGCATCTACTACTAGCAAGCATGCAGTAGTATTAAGCTGGCACCTTAGCTTGATTTTGCATCCAACGAGCATAGCTGCAGCTAGAGTATTCCAAAAGACATCTACTAGTATACGCAATGCAAAGAGCAAAGATATGGGAAAAAGCGGCCATGCCTGGTACTAGTCAATCCTAGATTCTAGATCTCAGTACGGTAACCCAGAGGATTTCACCAGAATACTAAACAATTCATGCGTTCATGGTATACTAGTAGCAAGTACGGAGTACGCACCCAATATAATCCGCTACGTTTGCGGATAGCACGAGCGGCGTGCCTCTGCGTGTCGGATCAACCACTGTGCTCGGGCCCTGCGCTTTTGGATGGTCGTCGGCGCCTCGGTGGTGTCGCGTGGAGGAGGGGCCGGTGCTCCCAGCTCCCGTGAGTTGACGCAGGATGCAAGGGCGAGGCGTGGTCGGAGGAGGCAGGCGCAGTGCGCTGCCGTAGAGCCTTGGCGGTGTCGCGCGGAGTAGCAGCCCGCGCTCCCTGCTCGCGTGACCCAGCACTAGACCATGTTGGCGGAGGGGAGTCGCCGGAGGGCAGCCGCGATGGCAAGCTTGCGGATCCGCCGAGATTGGGGATGAGACCGATGAGGATGGGGATGAGGATGCTTTTTTTTCGTGGTGTGTGAAGCTGCTGTGTGAGGCTGGGAGGGGGGAGGGAAGGGATAAAGCTTGCCTTGGTCGACAACGCGTGGTGTGCTGCAGTACAGCTACTACCAGTACGACACGAGTAGCCAACGATAGATAAATTGGGACACTCTATTGTCGCTACGACGACAGATAAACTGGGACGGAGGGAGTACATGCGTTTGACAAAATGCCCAAAAGAGGCAACTGTTATAAAACATATCGCCGCGGTAAGGACATTTTTCTCTCCGTCTCTCATGATCAACATAATAGATGAAAGCAGAACACACAGACACAAGAGATATGGAGACTATTCTTTATTTCTCTGAATATTGGTAATTACAACATAGAGC